TGTCAGAGCTGTATAGAACTTATTCCAGCCAACCACAGCGTTAATCATCCACCTTAGCACAATCTTTACTGCTCTGGGTTTTATGCCAATGTCATGACCTTGGGAAAACAATACAAAGAGGGATAACATCATACAGAACTTCAGTTTCTTGCATTTCTCATGTTATTTTTAGGAACTCCTAGACTTTCTGGCCATGTAGCCATGGGTTTTCTACTACCTTGAAGGTGAGCCATCATCTAGAACAGGGAGAGACATTTCATCCTTATGACTCACCACAGAAAGGTTTCCAAATCAGTCAGGAAAAAAAGAGTCAATGTGCACAGTTTCCAAATTATGAGGGCTTTTCTACATACAACCAGCTTGGGACCGACTCTGAATGATTTTGGATTTGCCTGAAGAGGCACACAATTTTCAAGCTTTATTAAAGATTCTGAAATTGTAAAATATTTATTTGATCAAATTTGGGAAAAAAAAAAGCGCTAACTATTATGGGATTGGCAAATATAAGGAGTGTTCCTCATTCTGAAAATCCAAAACTCTTCAGAAGAGATGGGGATCATTGTTCCACTTTACTGCAGGGGACATACAAGGGCCCTTGAACGTCACACTTTGCCTCCAAAGCAAGGCACCAGGAGAGGTAGGTACTGAACCCAGGTTCACAAGTAAACTGAAAACAAAGCCCTTCAGGTCTCATTTATCTTGTCTGTCTCTCCTCTGACACAATAAGTTAGGCTGATTTTTATCAGCCATGCGACTGAGTCTTGTTCGGTGGTGGTTCACTGTGCACATTTCAACAGAAAGGGAGAGGCTGAGCAGTCAAGGGCTGGCTGTTTGCCTTTGCCTGACTGCTGTGCTCCTGTCCACGTTGACTCTTCCTAAAGGAGATTTCACCTTCTTTGAGGTGTCTTCAGGGTTGGAGGAGTATGTGGATTATAGGACCTGAGGTTGGGAGACCCTTTAGGAGCAGAGAGCAGCATGAAAGCCAAGTCAGAGAAGCAAAAGGTCCCAAGGATACCGTGTGGGGTCAATCCACTCCACAAGTCCTGCTGAAAGTTGCTAAACTGGGAAGGTGGATTGGCTAAAATGTCCCACCCAGCAAGGACACCACAACCAAGAAGAAAGAAAATCATTGCAACCTTTACTCTTCTCAACATCTCAAGATGTAGAAGCTGCAAATATAAAAACAGATGTTGAATTTATGACATGACTGTGTGTTTGAACATTAGACTTGCAAACAGAAGACAGTTGGTAGGAAATTAATTTATGTTCAAATTAAGTGAGCTGCCAGGGTCAAGACTGTGTTATGACCACAGTTCATTCTCTTTCTTTTTCTCCTTGTTAATTAGATGCAATTACATGAGCTTTAGCTTTAGTGTACTTCCAGTCTAATTATTGAAAAAAGGTTCACATTTTAAGAAAGAAAATTAAAAATCAACGATGGTAACAAACAACCTTCTCATTGCTGACGTGTATTCAGACTAATGGTTATTTCCCTAATTAATCTAAGCCACTCATACAGTGTAATTTGTGTGACTACAGCAAACATGGCTTCTTTATGTACCTAAATTTTCTCTTAACATTTGTGGCAAACTAATACACAGAGAAATATAATAAGTCAAATTTTAAACACAAGCTGGGCATATACCACAAGCAGTGGCATTCCAACACTTGAAGAAAAAAATCTGACAAAATAATTTTAAACAAAAATTACTATTACTCCTTCTCTGAAACCATGTCTCTAGGAGCCTCTCAAAAGCACTTTGATCATACTGATGAGGGCCCTCCAGACTCCTTGGGGAATTTCCAACACCCACCTCTTTATTTTCTCAGGCAGTCACAGGAAAAGAGGTTTTGTTGAAGATGCCAGTGTGTACTCAGCTTGTCAGGATGTCTCAGGCTTAACCCTTTGATGACTCTGACCACTCTGAAGATATGATCTTCATGTCGCAGTTTACTGCATTAAATTAGGACATAAGCCAAATTCCAAACCTCTTAAGATAACAGGATGAAAAAAATGTGTATGATCTGTTGCCACAGAAGTATTAGCTAACCATCTCACAGTCCTGCAGCAGTTAGCCTGGGACCTCTCTCATGCCCAGTGCCTTTTAACTCCATCAGATTTAGCTGTGAACTCTAACTCTTCTCTGATACATACTGCATAACATACTGTAAAGAGTTCTGTTCAACAGGACAGCTGAGCATTGCCATTTCTCTTGACATCATTTCTCTAAACAACTACATTCTGATCAGCTTCTTTCACAGTTTGGTTTCCAGAGTCATATTCCAGTTTCCTAGAGAAACATGATCTATGACTTCCAGCATGGGGAGATGGTTCTTTGTTGTTATTTCTGTTCATACCACGTTAGCATTTTTTGTAGCAGCATGAATAGTATGTCTGATTTTATGTGGTTAATCAATCCAGCTGCAAGATCTGATCAGAGCACAATAATACAGGGCAATAACTATAAAAACACGTTCTTCCCAGAAACAGACATTGACTGTTTCTTCTTAAAGGTTACTATCTATCGAAAGTGAGACCTGATGTAAGTGGGTGAGACAGCTGGGATTTTGCCAGCTTTCAAAAGGAATGAGTTTTGCCCTGTCTGTGTCTGGAAGCTGCTGTTATGCAGCACACTGAATATACATCTGCATGAAGAACGTAGTATGTTAGAGTTACATTATACTTCAGTATCAGCTTAAAAATTACTTTCAGATCAGCATAAAATCTCAGGGTTTTGCAAGCAATAAGTTGGGTTCCAAACCAAAGCGACCACAGATTACTTTCCTACAGGAGTGAAAAACTCAGCCAAAAGCAAGTTTAGCTCTTCTTCACTGCTTGATGATTTCTGGTAGGCAAGCCTTATTCCATAGCCTCCCAGCTAAGAAGACTCCCCTTGCTGGTTTCTAACCACTTCCGACAGCCAAGAATAAGAAGGCCAGAAGTCACATCAGGACAACAGAGTAGGGTCAAGAAAGAAGCAGAAGATGACAGCTACACTACAAGACTGGACAAGGGTCAGAAAAAAGTAGAAACCAGAAACAGCCACAAGGAAAATGTAGGAGGAGACTTAGAAGTTATATGAGGTGGAGACTGCAAAATAAGAGATTGGCAGCAAGTGGGATACAGGGACAGATGGCAGAAAAAATTACCACATTATCACACCATTTCTTGTCTCAATATTTGTCTTGTCCCTGGCTGAAGCCCTGGAACTTCAGGAAACCAAGTCAACTTACTCGTACAAGTATTCTCCTTTGTCCATTCTTAATTAAAAACAAAGACCAAACAAAAAAAACCACCAAATACACACACACAAAACTCCTTCACAGTCCTAGAAGCAGCAGCAACTACTGGAGGAACGAAGGCAAGACAGACTATATATTTTGACTACATAAAGGCCCCAATTTCAGTTTTCACAATTCCTGTGGAAAGGTGTTGTGTGGTCATGGACTAGATAGCCAGTACCTTGACCACAGACATGGTCTCATGCTTCTCATGGTTAGTTGCCTTGCCCCAAGCAGTCACACGCTTTGTGGTTTGCCTTAACAGCAGGGGAAGAGACAGCATTTGATTAATATGGTGCTCAATAACCAGTAAGGTTAGTGCTCTGGGTACATTTCTTCAGCCTTGGCATGACTCACTTTCCATAGCCACCTTCCAATCAGAGGCTTGGGGCAGTAACCAGCATGGAATTCAGTCACACCAAAAGCTCAGGCTATGGAGCGAGAGGAAGGTCCAAGCAACAGCAGCAGGAGCTACAGTAGCATACATGCTGGGCGAACCCTACGGAATAGCTGGAGACTTAACTCTCAATTTAATACACCAAGGTTAAACAAAGTGCATGGATACTGTTCTGTGGTTGAATAAAGCCAGCCAGAACCAGACTGCTGAAAGAAAGAAAAATAAAGTCCAGGCAGGAAGAAAAAAGTTCAGACAAATCTTCCACTTGAATATCCTCTTCTTTCCTTTCACAAAAAATCTTTTTTGTTTGTTTGTTCCCAAACTTGCCACCCATCTTTTTTTGGCTGTACAATATTTTAAGAATAAGTTAAATGTTTACTTGGTTCAGTTAACATACATTTTCTACATGATTGAACGTGAGGCACTATCCAAACAGAAAAGTCTTTGAAACAGATATGGTAATGAAACAAAAGAATGCTCCTTTTGGAAGTAATCTCAAATACTACAGAAACATCCTTCAAACAACCACTGAAAAATAAAGACCCAAGGATAGCTGCTGTACATGTTTACTGGTTTAAAAGTAACTTCAGCAAAAATTTCCTAGTTCTTGAAATGAAACGCAGCTGAGATTAGCAGATTCACAACATATACATCAAAAAACATTAAGACAGTTATTTGCAATGGCAGTATGTCTTAAATCTTAGAAACCGTATCTGTGCACATCTCTGCTCAGCATTACTATTTTGGGGCACTTGACAATATGCTGTTTGGTAGATTTCGTGAGATACCAAAACACTTGAGGATTGTGAATAAGCCTATAAAACTTCATGTTTCTTACAATATTTTCATTAGCAGTATATTCTTACAATTGTCCAGAAGACTCTAAAGTTGGCTTTTACGCCGATTCCCCAAATACCGCACGGTGTGCCAGAGACCAACCTCAGTACACACGGAAGCATCATGCCAACCTCTCTAACCTAGTTTCCAGGCAAGACAACACTGAAGTAGACTGGTTATTACATCCTACTTGTGTTGAGATATTAGAGCAGATTTCTTGCCCAGTCTCTCCTCACAGAATCCATGCGATACTTCACATAACTGGAACTACGGGTTTATCTTTCCATCCATACGGTAAAACACTGTTCTTGAATTCCTCCTGGACACCAGTTTAATTCTGTCAGAAGTATGCCATCTACTGATGCACTATATACTATACCATTGTTCAAGCACCTTCACACAACCACTGACCAAGACCAATCTTAGCTGTGTTAAAAGAAAAATAATATTCCATGAATTTACAAGAAATGACAGTGCTCTCAAAGCCAGTGAAATGTGTTTTATTTTAAGCCACTGCTAAAACAAGGACAAATTTAGTGCAACCTGGAGTTCATAATCTCAAAACTGAATATAGTTAAATTACTAAAATGGCAAAACTCATCACCATTATACAGTACAAGACCTTCATATTCGTTGAGTACAGTTACATAAACATTTATAGTTATTCAAACTGCTTTTGGTATACAATTGCATCACTAACTGGGCTGTGAATTACTGTAACACTGCACAAATAAGCAGCAGTTCCAGCAAAATAAAATAAATTTTAGTATTAAATACTATTCAGACATTACAACAGAACAAAGGCCCTCTAAAACTACAACTCCAGCTATACAACAGGAATGTACAAAGATGGTACAAAATAAAGTGACTACAGTGGCTGGGCTCTGTACTTGCCCCTTCAGAGCTCAAGTACAGTAAACGTTCAACAGTAGTGGCTCTTGCTGAAAAGCCAAAATTCTTACACTAAATTCTGAATCTGTTCCTGAATCTTGTATTTTTCTTTGCAAATCAGCTGTGTAAAACTACGGGGTTTTGCGCTGGTGTTTACTACTTACTAGTGATCCCATCTCCAACAAAACGTGGCTCTTTATAGAAAAGGTCCCAGACAAAGTTACATTAGAAAATGTAACGTTTAAAATCTGATACCATTTTTGAGAGACCTAATTAGTCTCGGAATGTGGGTTGCTGGGTTTTTGGTTTTTATTTGGTTTTTTTTTTTAAAGCTTACATAATCTTTTAAAAGTCAAGAACAAAGATACTACACAAATTGCATTCAAATATATGGTCTTAGCTACTGTTTCACATCCTTATTTTGAGACAGCAAATCCTCTTTAATTTTAGCATATGGGTTTGAGTTTTGTTTGGTTTTTATTTTAAGGCTTTGTACATACTTCTGTATTATTTACGCATCCCGTTCTGAATGTTCAAACTTGTTTTAAATATGGCCACTTTTAACTGTTAATTTATAGAGGGACTATTTTCAAAGTGCTTTTTCTACAGTATCTTACAAAACATATGAACACATTTTTCAGAACACTGAATGAATTTATGAAATGTTTGAGACAGGGTGTCTTTTGGAACAATAATAGCATTTTATATATTTTCTTCAACTTAAAAATTAAATTACCAAATCAGGTTTCCCATATAGAAAAAATGCAAGATGAAACAACCTCTACTTTATTATGTCTGTTTATAAAGTAGAGTTGTCTGGTTTAAATGGACCAAAATGTGGCCGTTCATGTTTTTACAGTTTTCATTTAGACTTCTGTATCTGTGGTCAGGAGTTTTAAATAAACCAAGTAATAGCATAATTTAAGACTTGCATTAGCAAAGAACAGCTTTCTCACTAATATGGCAGACAGCACCAGTTACAATACAATCAGAGTAAGGTTTCCCAAAGATTATTAAAATTATTAAATTACAATAACTTTGCCAGGCTAGTTTAACGCCTTCCCAATTTTGATACCCAAGGAGAAAAGTCAAGTCATCCAGAAAAAATTCAAAACAATGTGCAGAAAATTGGGGGTTTTTTTTGTTTAACTATAAATGAAATATCTTATAACGTATTTTTCTAATGTACAATTTGGAAACTATGCTACTTTCCTCAGAGGCTAATAAATCAATCTCTTCCTCAACAGAACACTAACCAGTAGTTATGTAATGTATATGATCTAGTCTGAAAACAAGATTCCATTTATTAAAATAATTTTTAGTGCAACTATTGTCTGCTTAACTGTAAGCTTTGGGAATCACACAATCTTCTGCCTTTCTCCAGAAAATTAATTAAAATGAAAAACCACTTCACCAACTCTATAAAATTCAACATACTTAATAAATCAGTTAAAAAAGGGCTGCTCCTGGGGTGTTGTTTTGTTGGGTTTTTTCAACTGCTTCTGTACATTTACAACGCCTTCAATATCTTACTCAATTTGGTTTTGTATTCTCATGTCATAAAATTCCACTTGGTGAGAATGCAAGGGTCCAAACCCCAGAGCAAAATTTAGTCCTGAGGCACTGGTTTTATATTGTATTTTCTTGTCATTTCAATTTTATAGGTAAATTTGTACATTGTTGCTGTTTTAAAGGGAAGATGTTACAGCCAGAGAATAGTTTCAAATTTTTGTCTGAAACAATGTCAAAAGTTAACCTTATAAAAAAGGAAGAAAGGAATATGGAGGCTGGGGGAGGAAAAAAAATCTAGACAACTTTTGTGCAACTCTTAAAAAATATTTGTCACTAGCTCTATCTTCCAAATACAGGAATTAAGATAACTTTCCCCCGTGCCACTCTGGGCTCTACAGAAAAACAATTCCTGATGCTTTGCATTGTATTACCTGTAACAAGACAAAAGACCTTGTAATGGTTTTTGATCTTTCTGTCACATGGCATACATAGATCTTTCATTCAGTGAAATGATGTATGAAGTGAGGTAATAAACTATGGGCATAATAGAATTTTAAGTTAGCTGTAAAAATTTACATTATAAGTTCATACTGGTGAGATCTCACATACATGCATATACAAAAACATTAAAAGTCTTGAACTCTGTGAGAAAGGTCAACTTTGTGAGATCTAAGGCAGAAATACAGATGGCAAATGAGGACTAAACCAAACCAGGTCTCTGTAAAAAGACCAGTGGAACAACTTCCTGAAACATAAAGACACTGCAAGGAGAGTGCTCTTGAGTTCACCAGCGTGACACATCAGTAATACAGGAGGTAGGGGAAATCAGAACTGTACATACGCCATTAAAATTCATTAACAGATTTAGAGACTTCACCTCTCTGTTTGGGATCAAAAACTTGTGCACCATATCAACAGTACATTTTTTCTATGAAAAAAAGCTATTAAGATTCTTTTCTTCTTCCAAAACAATTAGGACTCCACAATGCTCTTGCAAATGATATGAGTTTTGAGGTGGCAATCTTATAATTACCAGCACGTGCCTTTTTCTCTCAAAGGATGTGTGAAAAAACAAAACCCAAAAAGCATTTTCAAGCCACAGGATATGTAAAGGTCCAGATTTCCCTTCAGACAGAAAGGCAAGTCAGCATCACTGGTGAGAAACCTGATCAGACTGCTAAAAAGACCTGATCAAAAGTGCCTTTAAAAAAAAATTCAGTGAAGGTAGTTAAGAAAAATGAAAAATCAATTTGCAAGAAATTTCCCCTTTATGTTTTAATTAGCTTTCTTTGCTAAACGCTTAAGTGCTCACTGAGTAAAAAATTCTCTTTATTAGTGAAAAGAAAATTCATATATGGAGGCAAAGATCTAAAGAATTAGACAAGTCAAAAAAATGGCCAACATCCGCAAACGAAGTTTCTATTTGCTACTTCTAACACATCTATGTGACAGACTAACATACAAATTCTTCAACACAGAATTAATGTCATAGAAGTATCTGCATAGAAAAAGCTTCAGTAAGAACTTTAGTAATTGAAACTTGATTGGCAAGCTTCAGGAAACCTTGGTGAAGAGTTATGTATGAAATGATGCTCAGCTACCCACGCTGCCCTTCTACCAAAAGTTACCATCTCTATCTATAGTAGTCAACAAAAGGGAACACGTATTTGCACCTTAACAATTTCAGAGCAGACTCTCACATTTTGACATAAAAATTAAACTTGATAAAGGTGGCTATGAAGCTGGACTGCATTATGGGGCTGCTCAGGCAGGTCACAATTTTCTTCCTGGCAATGGTGCCCTTGGGCACATAACACCTGGCCAATGTCAGTAATCTTTTCCATTGTCTGCAGCAAGGGATTTCGGAACGGGTTTTTGCAGAACATCACTGCTCTTAGTCCCACTGTGAATACAGCATACAAGTGGGAAAAAGAGCCATCCTGGCACAGCGGGAATCCTGAATAACATGCCTGAGACCATCTCCTCTGAACTACTATCATACACAAGGGATTTTTTCATAAATATTTCCATAGTCTGAACACAGCAGTAACTACAAGTTATGCATGGGTGGACAATACCTATTATGGACTGAATAAACACACCATGTGCACAGTATCACAAAGCACAGCACAGCTATTTTGACTTTCATCTCAAAGTCTTTTAAATGCTGACAATTACTTGAACATTCATTGGTTGAATTTTACTTTACATAACTGTGTTCTATCTCTGTTTCTATCTCCTTTCAAAAGAGGAATGAAGTGAAGTGTGTTGCATCTTTGGATTGTTCAGACATTTTCCAGAAGCCAGCTAACCAAAGACTTATTTAGAACTGGCTCTCCATCAGTCGCTTTCTCTATCATTTCACAGTATTTCAGCACTGCTTGCAAGAGATCTCCGACTTTCCAATCTCTTTCTCGCAGTCTTCTGGAAAGCTAAAGGGGAGACAGGGGAACACAGAACAAAATATTTTGACTGGTACATCCTGATTAACAGTTACAAAAGTTATTCTTGAAACACTAGCTCATAAGAGATCAATTCTAATGAGTTAATCATTATTCCCACATCTATAAAAACAAAAACTTCCACAAGAATCAGGCACTTTTCTTTAGGGCAGTTTTCACAAAGTTCTCTTCTGGAGGCAGTGACATTTCAAATGATGTGGTGCCACAGGTATGAGGGCTGTGGTTCATCAAGACTGCAGAAAACAGGAAATTCTGAACACAAGATTAAAACATTTGCCACCCCTCCCATACCAATAATGCACATATAAAAAGACAAAACTCAGTCTTAATAAAAGGATGTGGATTTTCCTTTCACAACATATAGTGTGGTTTGGGTGGCACGGATGCTACCCTCAATGAAAACAGTGTCTTCAGAGTTGGGAAATTATAACATCTTGGGGAAGAGGAAAAGGTGAGGGCTAAGTTAAACTACCACTTGGGTAGAGATCAGTGCAGCTGAAAACATTTTTTTTGCCCAGGGTCCAAGCAAAAATTCTTCCTTTGCTTATGTGTCAAGCTCAGCTATATATAGAAGAAAGACTACCCTAAGACAAGGATGAATTTGCCAGTTTGCCCAGAAGTAAAAAAATTTTTTAATTTAAAAAAAAAAAAAACAAAAGAAACCAACACAACAAAAACCAACACTCACAAAAACAAACTTTATTCTCTGTAGCCTTCTGGATAACTGTCTATGCTGCACTTAGGAAACACAATTTATACACTTGCTCTAGAGTCCCTACCATGATATTCTATATATTGTTTTTAAAAAAGTCATTAACAGCATTCAGTGAAATATCTTCCACAGCTATAAAACTAAAAATTTGTAATGTTTCTTCTATGAGACCTGTCAGATTGCAATATGAGACTCTATTAAAGATACCATGGCAAGATGACAGAGCTGGCACCTGGCTTCACTAATCTCTCCAATTTAGAGTTCAAAGTTCAGTCCCACTGTTTCTTTAGCTGACTGATCTGTTTCTTACTGTCAGAAATGAAATATTGGAATTTACTCAAAATAGACACGAGGAATCCTAAAACAGCTAGAAAAGGTCTGATTCAAAACGGAATATATTTGGGTTTTTAATCCAGGCACTTGAATATCCATGCTGTCAGGCTTCTCAAAGAAGTCAAGATCTATTCTAATTTACTGGTTTCTTGTTCTAGGTCCTAATAAACATATTTAGTTTCATACTTAACTTCTTCTGCCTTGCTGAGCATAACATGTATCCTTAAGTAAAAGTTCATGCCCAGTTGCAGCAAGTAATACCTGGCCTGACACATGCTGGAAGTATTTTTGTCTTTTATACAGCCACATCGCATCATTATCCTGCTGGGATCAGTTAACAAGCCTTTCCTCCCTTCCAGAACCCACCAACCGCTTATAGTGAAAATCACTCTTTTCGATGTGATCTAAAGTCCAGGTTCATTCCCCATGTAAATGAGGTAACTTACCAAAGTACCCTATGAGATGATCAAACCCCATAGCTGGTAAAAGACCTGTATATTATAGAGGTCAGTTTAGTTTTCTGTTGGGCTGCAGTGCCCTCTAGAGGTGCTTGTCTGGCTTTACAAGTGACAGAACAAAACCTCAGTTTGGGGTAGAGATTATTCCAATTGGGAAATGGGATGGAATAAAAAACAGGTAATCCTTCCCTGCCCCCGGGGAGGGGGGGCACAGTATTTCAATTCATTTTAGCATAACTGCCTTTGGAGAACTAAAAATTAATCTATAAACCTAAGTGACTCAATTAGCTATTGTAACATTTTCAGGACTGCATGACTACTGCCTGCCTGAAGGTCTTATGTTTTATCTTTAGGTGTCAACTCAGTATCAATCCATGACTGAAGTGTCAAGTAGAAAAACATTATAATATTTTAGAAGTGCATACATAATAGACACTGCTATTTTGCAGAGTGCTCTTCACAGTATATTCTCTTATTAAGGCAGCTACAGTGGTGTTCAGATACACAGCCAGCTAACATCTTCCCTGTGTGTCTTCAGGCATTGGCTCAAATAGTAGCATCACAACTCTGAAATCTGAAATGTCAGAGCTGGCCAAAGAATGGGAGACTTGCAGATTTTTTTTTTTTAATTAAAGGCACCTGCCATCCATTCTTTGTCTTACATTGTTACGTTGCAGTGTAAGATACAGGTCTCACACATACACACCTTACTATTAACACTTGTGGGTCCTACCACTATTCTGCCTATTTACAACACTGTAATTCACATATAACAAGCACAAAATAGATGGATAGAACTTCAAAAGATTGCAACAACAACTCACAAGGTCAGAATGACTATATTCACTAAGCCCCACTCATTCACGTCCAAAGAACTTCAACAAATTCTGGGCCAGACACATGAGAACAGAAAAAGTGTTTTCTTCTTCATGTTAAGACACTTATAAACCATAAAAGAGAAGGAACAAATGAATATAAGGATTAAACACAGCAGTTATGAATAAAAACAGAAATGGAGAAAAGTATTCTCAAACTGCCTTCTGATTTATGAAAGCGTGAAGCCCACTCTAAGTGTCAGAACTGATGTACAACAAAACATATTTCTGAAACAATTTTACATCAAAACTAACAACCTCCAGAAAAGGAGCACAGGGGATATATTCCAACTTATCCAAATAAACATTTCCCAATTTTCTGGATTACTTAAAATAAGAATGCAAGACTTCCTATCCTTGAGATCGAATACATATACCACACAGTTAGACAAGCAAAAGGAAAACAAACCTAGCATTCTTTTTCTGGACTAGAAAGGTAGAAGTCACTCTCAGGAAAATCCAGCCCAGGAACGATCTGGACTGACCTCTAGGTCCCTTTCACACTCTTAAAACAAGTCTACAGTAACTAAGCACCATAGGTGAACACACTCATCTAAGTTTGAGAGTCTATTTTGTCATACTGACATCTACCTCCCAGTCACTCTCCTCTTCTGCCAAAATGAGGATTTGAGCTTTGGAAAGCACCAAGTTGAAGACTTAATACTAAATTCTGGAACTGAGAGCAAGCTCTTCCTTCCTTAATATACTGAGACATGCATTGTTATTTTTGCCAAGATCTTATTATCAAAAACATATTAATGGCATCACATTAATGTTTTTTCACATTACCAGGTCACAAAATAAAAATCTGTAATAATTTATCATTCCTATCAACCTTATCATTAGAGAAAATGCATACATATCTATTAAGTTAGTCTTTCAGTAGCAAGGTAATGTTAAAACAATTCTTTGGTAGAAGATTAAAAAAAACAGATCAAATGTAATAAATGCCAGATTACCATGTGCAGTTTGGTGTGTAGCCACAAAGAAATAATTTTTATGATTTTATAGGAATAAGAAGACGGAAATACTCAGGTCAGTACATATACCAAAATTTTTACCCTTCCCTAAAAGACACAAATTGCTACAGCCTAATTCTTTAAATTTCCGCTCTTTGGTCACATATTAAATTTATCTATGAAACCAAAATAAAGGTACCTAAAAATGAACAGCCTTTTTGAGCCTTCTTTCTTAATAGCTTTGGTTGCAGTTGCTTACAGAATAAAAAACATAGTTAAATTTAATTAGAAACGAAACTTCTTTCTGATGAGAAAACGTGCATTCACTAGGAAAAAAACTTGCAGTAGAACATATTAAGTTAGAAATTAATTTGCATGACTAAGTTCTCAGAAAGACTGAATTCATAGACAATTAAATACTAAGTAAAACATGCTTGAAAAAAATTTTTCCACTAAAAAAATGCCATAACTGTATCCTCTTTGGAATAAAATAAGGAAAATAATTTATCAACTACTTATCTTTGAGTAATACTGTTTTATGTATGGTCCCTGTACAGGTTGAACACTGTTTCACTTTGAACTCCCAGGATTTAAATAATGATTTTCCTCAACAGCAAATACCTCACTATTACTGAGGGACAAATAAAATAGTAGTACGTAGTGTTATTACAGCAAATGGAAATCAAGCAAATTCTTCCCCACCACCCATCAAACCCAAGTACTTACAAAGACAAATTCCCTTGTAGCAGTGTCATGAAAGTGAAGATCAGACACCTCCATTTCAGAAGCTGCCAGCCACTGGAGTGCTGCTCTGAGCTGGGGGTCCACTAGATTTGGTTCCAGATCAATATTCACTATTACTAAAATCTTTCGTATTTGCTCCAAACCTAACATTAAAAATAAAATCATCAAATCTATAGCTTCAAATTCTTTCAAAAAAGTCTCTGTAGTTCACTGTTTAGACCATACTATCTTAAAAACCTCAATTTATTACACACAGATAATACAAAAGGAAAAACTCATGCTGGTCTGAAGTGTTTCTTTACTTTCACATAAGGAAGTAGTGTTTATCCCATTTATAATTGCAGACATCATACCTGTGTATTAAAAGACATATAAACTTTAATGTATATTCAAATGACAAGGAACTTAACACAGCCTTTCATAATCTGAACGACAATGGCTCTCACATTGTCCATCAGTCTTTTCCATTTCCAACTGCTATTTTTTGCTATGCCTTCACATGCTAAATTTTTTAAGGTATGTATTTCGGAATTCTTTCCTGTACAGACTCCCTATTGAGTTTTTTCCAGAACATAGCGCTGTTTTTACTTATCCATTTTTCCGACATTTCCTTTACAGCATGAGTTCCAAAAACTAGCACAGTATGGAAAGAGTAGCTGCACTAGTAACACAGAGAAACTGCAGTATTGTCATCTTCTGTTCCCACGCTGAATTTCTGTATCCAGCTATCACAGTAATCCTTTGTCACACTCTCAGAACCAACTAAGCATAGGTGTAGTGCTCTCCAAGTCATTCTTGAAGTCTCTACTTCCAGACTACTAGACTCAACTCTCTAGATACATGGAATATATTTTTAATAAAAACATATGTTGACATGCAGTTTACCTCAATATCATTACTCTTCCAATCAAGCTTATGAAAACTGAGGTATATTAGGTATTTATTCCTAACTGGCAAAGTTAAGCATGATGAAATTGATTCCCCCAGGAGGTAGAGAGAAAATGAATTAGTTAAACTGTCAACATAAGTGTGCTTTTGGTGGATAATAGAGTATCTGTCTAGGAGGCCCAAAATCTAGCATCGTAATAGGAGAAAGAAACAATTATTTAAAAAAAAAAAAAAAGTATGACACTTAGAGGATGGAAAGCAATGTGACAATTTACTATGGGAAATTTGATCTATTTTTCAGCTTTATAAAATAGATGGACATTTGGTAATAGCAAGGCTTTGTTTCAAATTCCTTGGCAAACAAGGTGCAATCAGCTTAGAAAAAGCCAGACATTTCTAGGTATGGCATGAACAGAGCTTCCAAATGTACAAGACCAGGCACGAAGATTTTCTACCTAGAATACTATTTAAATTGTCCTACAATGAAAATAACAGAAAGAATCTTTTCAAAACAATAGTGAGATGGTGAACAAATTAAACTGGAAAAAACTTCACTCAAAAATCCTTAATAGAGTATAAAGCAGTCTGTTGCACTTCAGGAGACACCTGAACTGTGTAGAGAAATAAAATCAAGCACTATTTTAATTGAGCAATCTGAACATTTGAGATGCTACAATTTTTTGAAGTTGAGATCAAAAGAAAACAATTGTATATTGATAACCTAGATGAAACCTACAGAGCAGAAAATATTTTTGTTGTAATTACTCTGAGGAAAAAATACTCAATAATTTGGTTTAGTTTTATTTCCTTATAACCTTACACTCAGATCAGATTTAAAAAAAAAAAAAAAGATGTGGTTCATTTCCATACATTTTTCCGGGAGCTTTAAGAAGGGAAGAAAAAACCCAAAAGAAATAACCACACATCTTTCTGCTTACATCAAGTCTATTCAAAGATGTGCAACATGGCTGAATAACCTTTGTAATTGGGCAGCTGAGTTTTCCTGAAATGTTTATTTCATCTTCAGAATACACCCAACACAAAGAAAAGCTCTTGTTACAGCTTGCTCTAACATCAGCTCATCTTTAAATCAACCTCATATACTCTGTATTCAGGCTGTTCTCATCTGAGTTAACAACCTCTGGCACTTCAATCAGACTGGAACCAGTGCAGAGATCTTCTATGAACCAGAAAGCTCTGACAAGATTCTGGACAGGTCTTATTTTACATTTCACTAAGAAGAGAGATTATAGCAAATATATCGAAACCAAGTTTTTTCATTGTTTCTCGTGACTCCTCTCCCAAGGCTAACATGCCCAGTTTGAATAACTTCTTTAGTATCTCACAGCCATGCAGATGCATTGCCATGGCTCCTTATCAAATATTTTACAAATAAGTTATTTTATGCACATAAATTTACACTTTCAACAAGCTGATCAGAGTTTGCTACTTAATAACATAAAGTACATGTGTGAGCATCAGAGACTAGCATTTCCCAAAGGCTGTAAATTTCAGTGCATTGAGAGGTATATGAAGGGTACTAATCTAAGAATATATTCTAACAGTTGACTGACATGCACTGTGATGAACAGGAATTGTCACCTTGTTTTACAGACTACAGAATAAAAGAATTAACAAAGTAATTCATGTAGAGTGCACAGGTCAAGAACAGTAGTATATGTTGGAATTGACATTACCTTCTACAGCATCCTTAGAGTCTTCATCTTTATCTTCTGTTCCGTCACTGTATTTTAAAAATAAAACAAAAGTATTTTAAAAATCCAACATATGCACAATAAATGTAGTCAGTCCTGAGACTGTAATGAAGGTTACAGGACAAGAAGATCATAAAAGAATTAAGAAGTGATCATGAAAAGAAGCTTTGCTTCTCACACCATTTCATGTTGCAAACAGATTTATCATCAACTTCACACGATTTCCTCTTAGGAAAAGAAGGGAGAGGAGAGAAACGAGAGAATGGTATTAAAAAGATGGACTGTAATATGAAGACATTTTAAAATAAGAAGAAAACTTACTGATTTTTAATTTAGGAAGACAGTTTAGTTTTGCTTCCTATGTGAAAAAGTTGAGCCATGTTATGTCACAGATATGAACAGTTATAGGTTATTCAAAGCTCTAAGTCATAGTGTTCTATAAAAACCAATTACCAAGAAATTTTGAAAGTTTCCAGAAGCTAAAGGAAAAAACAGAAATCCTATAGGAAGCAAGCTCTAGTTTGCATGAAAGTAAATCTAAAGACTTGTATAACTGCAAGCAAGAACATGCACAAAAGGGACCTTTCATTTTGCAAGCAGAACACATTCATAAGTTTAGCACAGCAAAATTTAACCATTCAGTATGGATTAATGAAAAATCATATTGTGATTAAGTGAGAAGAGTGTGAATAATGTATCAGCATAAAAAATGCACTGCATTTTTATTTTCCAAAATGATGATTTCATGCATTAATTATGAAGAACCCATCTGGTTTATATTTCTCATCTCAACCAACCTGTCTGATGTTGGAAAGGATAAATTCTCCTCATACATATCCCCTTCTAAACCAAGACTGCTCCAGCTACTGCTGTTACCATTACTGCCAGGAGAAGAAGAGAACACAGCTGAACTAGAAAAGAACAACAGCTCAAACTAGAACCTCTATTTTCCTTTGGGCTGTTTTGTCAAGATATTTAATGCAAGAGCACTGAAACTGAACAGGTTTGCAGGAACAGAGTACAAACCTGACTGCCAGTGCTATTCAGAGCAGCAATGTGCAAACCAGTGCAAAACTGCTAAGTTTCAGTACACAGGAGAAAATATTAATTTGTATCATTAATTTTCCAGATCAGTGCTAGCAGTAATTCTATTCTCAGGTCTAAGCACATTGCTCGTTATTTATACAAGCTCAACAATTTCAATATGACTACTTACAGGAATAAGGATTACAGCTGTAATATTTGCTTAAGGACTAGCTAAGAGTTCATAAAATTTTATATTGTGAAGACAACTGCATAAATAAAATCCTTCCATCTCATTCCAAAAATCAAGTAATGATCTCCAACAGCCTGATGAGAAGGAATTCTTGGAGGAAATTATTTTATTTTATTTTTTTAATTCTGAATATTGTTCTACAAGCCGATCTTTTATAAAATCAGTGAAAACAATACTAAAAAGATCATTCACAGTTCACAAACATACTGCATTTATTCCATGACTACGTTCAAGCCAATGCAAAGAACTGAAAAAATTGAGTATGTCCTTACACTGGTACAGTTTAGGCATTATAATTATCAGAGTTTGTTAAACCTCTGCTTATGTACAAGACTGAGCTACTCATATGCTTAAATCTCTGTTCCTCAACTTCATACCTCCCCCAGAGCATGTCTGGAAGTCTTCTCAGAACAGGATTTCAAGATAACCTGCATTCTTTGATAAAACTAGATTGTCTACTATAGATGGAATGGCAAGCCATGAAGTAATTCCAAAGAACAACTGTTGCAAGATGACACTTTCTTCACCTAAGTTTTGTGTGACTGTTAAAGCTCCTCTTTTCCACTCAATGCAAACAGTAAAATTTAAAAACTGCAAATGGTATAAAGAAACATTTCAGGAGACAGACCTTAATCTCTCTCAAGAGCCTGTCAGTAAAAGTATCAGCTATCAGTGTTCTTTGCTTCCTAGTATGCCTGCTTGGATCCTAATTTCAAAACAGTTAACAGCAGGTTAGTAAGCCTGCGATATGAACATATCCTAACAGGAAGGAAAAAAAAAAAAAAAAAGTTGCAGGTGCTTTGTTCAGCACATTGCCGCCTATTGAGACTACATGTGCGAAGAACAATCAAGCAGTTCTCCCATTATGAAAAAAAAAAATAAAATTAAATGGCAGAAACTTCTAAATAAACCAACTTGATTTGCACAAACAATGCAAACATGGTCTTAAAACCATTTCTCAAGCTTCTGTGTGAGACTATCACAGTATACATGAAATACCAAATTTGGTTTCAATTACAGGTATAGAAAAGATTTAATATAGCCTATTGAAAACAGTGCTCTGCACGCAAACAGCCTCTTCCACTGAAAGTTACAGATGCATAACATAAGTGGAAGTAAAAGCTGACCCAGTTCTCAGGCTAAAGGAAAAAAACATTTGCAATCTTAACAGAATGACCTCATGCATACTGCTATTCTGATGAGGTAAAAGGTTAATATATTTTACAGAGGTCAAACTTGGTCTGAAATAATTATATATATTGAACCATAGGACTACAACGCATAGCAATGTATGAGACGTTTTTGTAATGTAGTGTTTGTTTTGGTTTACGATGCCAAATTAACAGTCTTGAAAATAAAGTCCTGCAATAAGCAAAGGCATTATAATGCTTCTGTAATGCTTCATGCAGCTCTTCAACATGAGCCAGCAGGAGAATTACAAGAAAACCTTTCACTTTTACATATATACTGTATATATGGGAACTACAACTCAGATCATCTGCCTTGAGATTCTGTATTACGTACACACAGTCCAAGGCAAGAGTCTTCTGCTCTGAATTATAACCTGACTTGGATGCTCCAATCCATCCCCTGGAAAAGCCTGTCTATGTCTATACCTATACATTAACTACAGAGAAAGCTTACAACTATTTTATTTCTATATTTAAGTTGCTAACATTGGGCATGCAAAGCAGAAGATACAAGCACTCTCCTGCATAAATAACTCTACCAAGTCCACTATAGAACTTTCATTCCTATTTCGATTCAAATGGAACTGCAAAGATCATGCTTTGATAATTCTTTCCAAGCTGACTTGCTCTCTTGTTTACACATCATTTATTCCTCTGTGAAGTACTGAAGTACAATTTTTATATTGATCTGAGACACAGAGTGCATGTACCGTTCCAGCCGAGTTACTACAAAAAATGTCTTTTTTTACCTGAAGTAAAGAAAAGCAAAGCAAATTGAGCTGGACCACTGTAGCTTGTATTGCTGTATTGTTTTCTGGGGATTGTGATCCTGTGTTCCAAAAACATTTCAACTACCATTAATGGAACTAGGTTTATTGTTATGAAGATAATTTCCAGAATGTCGTCAGCTAAAGGAGTTTCAAGTAGCAGTATCCACTGAATACTGCAAACAGCCTGGAAAATACTGGGGGAAACGAGAGGTCCCCCTTCACCAAGTAAAACTTGCTTAATGTTCACTATGCCACTTAATTATATTGTAGCAGCACTACAAACAAATTGGTCTAATGATATCTAGTACCTCAAAGGTCACACAAGCAAGACTGCTGACAGTCCCGTAGTCACAAGGAAGCCACTTCCATGAAGAAACAGCTGCCAGGGGAGCAATGCTATCAGATAGTCCATTTAAATGTTTCAAATTGGCATGGTTTACATACAATCAGCACAATATTTTTTAAACAGACAGCTCTAACCAAAAGGAAAATAAATAAAAAAAACCAAAACCACCCAAGAAAATAAACAACAGAACCCCAAACTTTCAACTGTTGTAACTGCATAATGAATGCCCCCTCTCTAACTGAATGGCATGTATGGCTGGTATCAACTAACCTATGCTTTATTCACTATTTGTAACTGACAATATGCTGAATATTCTTCCTTCTCCTCTAATTTCATCATGTAACTCACTTTCATTCATTCAAAAGAAAATGCTTTACTTAAAATAACGTTAAGGCAATGTGGTCTCTTACAAAATTATCCAGTTGTATGAGTGACAAATTATAGTAACAGTTTGATTAAAATATTTAGTTAAGCAATATATGAAAAATATTGCAGACATTGTGAGCAGTTTTACTTTGGTACCAAATAACCTATTTGTGTATTACATAAGGAAGCATATCTCCCATATTTTCTTTAATGTCAGTGATGCTGGAAGTACTAACTAAAAGGGAAAAGAACCTCTCCCCCATTTCTGCTATTCTCAACAGAAACACTGAACTTTCTACAGTAACATCAATGGCATATCAATCACAGAAAACTAAGTTTACTCATTCCTCACATTCCTTATATAGACGCTCAGGCCACAACTCTTAATTCTTCCTGGCAACAGGAAGGGACATTGCAGATTTTTAAAATTCCCATTCTAATCTTTCTTAGTTATCAATCAGACAGGGGAAGCGTAGTGAGAAGCTCTGTGGAAAAAGTTACTACCCAGAACAGGTAAGTTCTAGTATTACACACCAGTAAGTTCATGGTTAGTAGTCCATCAGTATCAGTCAGAACAGTTCATCAATTCAAGTCCCAAAAAATATAAAAATTGCTGTTAAATTCCTCATGCAAATTAAGCTCATAATTACATCTTTTCAATAATATATGAATTTACATAAAACACATTCTCATGATTAAGTTTTAATATTTCAGATGGTTGTTTTTAAAATGCCTGCATCTTTTGCTAATACTTAAATTACATATGTACAGTTTTACTTGATGTGGCTCCCTGACAATGCATACTCAACATACTTCACAGAGTGTATAGTATGAACAGCTGTGGGCAACAACATTTTGTAAGAACACACAAACAAGATATGAGAGCCATTTTTAATAATAGAGTCATTGTGTGTTGAAGACAAAATAGTCTCTTCTCCCCCCGACCCCCAGAAGAAAACCACTTGATGCCAAGTTATTTGATGTCAAGATAACTGTTTAACTATACTAACATGTTTATAGTTACCTGTCACTGAGGTGAAGAAAACTGCTGCTCTCATCAGGATGTTCATCTTCAAAACTTAGATTGGACCAACTCCCAGTGCTATCATCACCAATACTAAGACTCATCTGCTGGCTAACAATAGATTCAACAGAATGAAATCCTTCTCTTCCAACAGAGCTAAACAAAAATTTAAGATAAAAACATCACTGCATTTCATGACAATGTGTTAGTTCATTTACAGCAATTTAACAGCATTTCAAAGACATTATATTCCAAGGGAAAAAAAAAGGGGGGAGATGGAGGGTGATCCATTAATTTGTATCCTATTCTCAACACAAGAAATGGAGCAATCAAATAAATCTGAAATTGCAACAGGCTTAGGTCACAGATTGCTGTTTGGAATTATTTCACTAGAAGACAAAGGGAATGGCACAAATAATTCTCTCATTTGGAAGATTATTTGCTCTAAAACATTGAAGGCATTGCAGCCTTACAGTCTGTATATCAAGGTACACATTCCAAGGAAAAGACTTACCATTTTTGAACTTGTTCACCATAGGACAATTTGGCTATTTTCCCCTGTCTGCTTCTGGTAAAATCATATAGGGGGTCTGCTACTGTAGGCAAAGTGCTTAAGTACGTGCTGCTGTTTAAAAAGGTGTTTCTGTAGATAAAGCTATGTCTTCCTGACTCAAGAAAGAGTAGCAACACATGACTTGTACAGAATTTTTCCCTCAGGAAATTTTTTTTTATCCCCAAACCAATCAAGTAAGTACGGTCAATAAAAGCTAGTCTTTAAAAGACACTTCAAAAGATCCAGTTTGATAACTTTAAAGAAGTCTGAACTCCTTACGAAAAAGTTACAATACGAGAACATGCAGTTATGAAGTAACTTTCGGGGGCAAACTGGTTATCTATATACAGATGAAGTGGTAGAAAGTCCAAGAAAAATGATCATCATACTACCCCCATAAAAAGCAGCCACTGTAACATTAACTATTTTAAAAGCCAACCTTGACCACATCACTGATAACACTGCTCCAGTGGCCACAAATTTGTGCAGATAAATATGCAGCTTCAATTGGAATCCATCTGGGTAATACAAAGGTTATTTTTTTCCTCATTTTCATTTCTACCAACATTAACAGTAGTCCTTTTCACCACACAAGGCAGCTTCTCAAGAAACATATGCATTAAATATAATACATTAGATAACAATATAAGAAACATTTATAAATTTTGTCATAACCCCCCCCGAAATATCACCTCCTTGTCACAGATTAAAAAAAAAAAAAAACGTATCTCTGTGAACGCTGCATTTTATTGCTGCCATATTCTAACTAGAAACTTTAAATAATATTTTTAAGAAGTGATTCAGAAACAAAGTGTCATCTTTAATACTCTAGCTATAGAAAAACATGACTTTTGTTTTTTGGTCACACTGTTGTGCAGAGCACCATAATATACATCGTATGTGCACTTTTATGCTACTAGTATGTACACATTTCATATCAAACCTTGAAAAATTTAGTTCACTCCCTCTGTGACCTTTAGCCACTGAACATATAAAAACCAGTTTTATTATTTATCATGATGCCCCTCCAGGAACCAGGAAAAGAAACCTGTAGATAATGTGAGGAATTCATACACAAACAAAAAAGTAGGACAATAAATATTACTATACATTGGAAAAAACAGCATGGTGCTCTTGGACCTGAAGAAGAGGAGATTTTAAGTCACTCTGATTACTGTAGTTTCTTTTAAGAAATAGTTGCTGTTTGTCAGTTACTGTGACATATATTTCCTATTTAAAGGCCTAATAAACAGCATATTAGCCTTGGCTAAATACACAAGAATTTGAAAGTCAGTTCCTTGTCTACTGTATTACTATTTCATAAGATAAAGTGTGGTTTAGTAAGTTGTTTTTTCTTAAAGTAAGGGGTTGCGGGGGTTTTTTCCAATAATAGGGACACCATCACAACACAGCCATAACCAAAATAAAGCCTTCACACTATAAAGAAATGGTTAGTTTGGCCAGTACCAGTTGTTGGTCCTACTGACAAAAGCAAAAATAAATGACTTCTATTTTTTAGCACAGAAGAAGAAATATCGATAGGGAACAAACCTGGATTCTGTCATGGCTCACAGACCAACAAAACCCGTAAGGTCTTCTATTCTCTACTGCAGGTAAAAATAACAGTATTTCAAGTTGAAATAATAAGTTCTACTTACTAGTCACCTACTTGAATGTATACAATGCTGATATATATATATATATAGAAACCTTGGTTTCAAGCTCCCACGGGTGGAAGGTTTTTTTCCTAGTTCTAAATCATTTAAGTATCACCAGAATAAAAAGAAAACATTCAGAATATAAAGTGTACATTTCTAAAAAATTTTTTTTTTTAAATTTCCTTCTGAGCACATCCTTCTTTTTCTGGTACAGAATGCAACAAATAAGAGAAAATTAGTATTACCTTATGTTAACTGCCTGGCCAATATTAGTCATAGCTGATGTCATTATTTCAGTAGTAAGGCTTTCAGCAAAACTGACTCCATCTTGTCCAATACCACTGTCAGCTGTCAAACTTGTGTAACTCAGCTCTCCTTCTGCTTTCTCTACAGCAGCAGTAGCCCCCTTGTCAGAAAACACTGTCTTCTGTTCTACATCAACATGAATTTTAGGAATATCAAGCTGAAACACTCCTGATTTTTGACAGGCACCACCCAATCCAGAATGAACAAAACGCCTCACTGGAATGGAGGATTCTTGCACAGGTAGATGATGAGATGTATTTTCTGTACAGTACCGATGTTCCTTCATACTGCAGCATCTACAGACAGTTCCAGAAAAAGGAGACAGTTTCTCAGTATATGAGAGCCTATCCCCATTTTTTCTGTTTTCAGCCACATGGAGAACAGCCGACTCTAAACTAATTTCTAGAGTATCATCTACTACTTTCCTAGCATACTGTTCTATAGCTTGAATTATGCGTTCACTGTAGCCATTTTCATTTAAACTGCCTGTACTATGATACAGTTTATGATCTGGGGAGAAAGGAAGAAATGTCCTAGAAAATCTTGTTTTAGTAACATCCCCTGTGACTTCATCAAATGCAGTCTTTTTATATAGACAGGAGTCTGTTAGAGACTTTGGCAAACATGATCCCGACATTTTCAATTTCTTCCTGACATCACAAGTAATACTGCGAGCAAGAGATTCTGAAAAATGTAACAACTCTGTACATTCTGTTCTCTGTGTGCTGGTGCTCCTTCCGTACATTTGGTCTTCACAGCGATGAATGCTGCTTTTCACTTGCTGTACTGTATCTTTATTCACTGTTTTGATCAGCTCCAGCTTACCATTTACCTGTGCATTTTGCCCAGGAAACGTCTTTCTGTTGTATCTCAATTTAGTTTTTCTCGCAGCTTGCTGTAAGCCTGATTTGATAGACCTGTAAACAAGTCTGCTAGCGTACTGATCCATTAACAGTTCAGCGTTACCACCTTCTCTTTTCAAAACTCGAATAATATGATCTGCATATTCATCAGTCACGCTTTCACAGCTTGGGTATTTGGAAGTCAAACCAGTCAAGCCTGAACCTTGTGGTAAAGGAAGCACAGATGAATCTCTCTCCCCTGGCCACTGGTCCCGCACCAGATCACACTGTTCTTTTGAACTATAATCTTTATCACCTTTTCTCAGATAAAGGCAATCCACCTGACAGTTAACCCTCTTCAACCTCAACAGTTTACAATGCCTTGATTTCACTATTTTCTTGGCCTCACTGATAACTTTTCCTGCCATATCACCTGCATAATTCCATAAAGAATTGCATGTCTCTTCTGGGATATTTATAAATGCAGTGTATCCACATTTTTTGTTTTGCATACCTAACTGAACCTGTCTATCAGCTTCTCTTTCATTTGTTTTACCATCTAAATGGGAAGCAGCCATTTCAGTCGCTATTGAAATTATATGGCTAGCTAAGCAATCTGCATACTGAATCGTTTTTTCTGAATGCTCCTCTTTCTCAATGGGCATTTCAGAATGATCTTCATCTTCGCTACTTTCTACTTCTTCGGAAAGTGACCGCATAAGTTTTAGCATAAATTCCTCATTTTCCAAAGAGTCGTGTTCCATTTCAGACAAACCAGTAATGGATGGATTATACGGTGTAGAAGGTGGTGTTGCAGGTGCAAATTCCTTTGCTAATTCTCCCTTGAGTTTCTTAGATAGTTTTCTTAGGTTTCTTTCAGAACTACCTTGACATGGTACTAAAGGAGTTGGTGGGGGTGTATCAGGCATTACACAGGTATTTCCATCTTTGAGACTTGATTTACCTTCCATCTGCAAAGCATCTTCACTGCCAAACATCACTGAAGGAAAGCTATTTGCATGCAGGAAACAATCAGCCTGCCTGTAAGTCAAAGGTCCTGATGGTTTCTGAGTATCACGTTTTTTTGAGGGCTTGTTTAAGTATGCTGTTGAGCAGCTTCCTGTGTCAGTAAAATCCTCTAGAACATGCCTAGCAAGTGTCCCAGTGGAACAAGGCGGTGGTGATTTTGAAGAAAACCTGTGTCCTTTTTGTTCCTGCCAACAATCTTTAGACTCTGAAAAACACTGAACAGAATGAGTTGGAGTAAGAAGAAATTTACATGGATTATTCAAAAGCATCTGTTGTTGCTCCACAATTATAGAAACATTACTTTGTTTCTCAGCCTCTTGCTTCTTTATCACACATTGTTCTTTTCTACAGGTATCTGTGTAAGTCTGTGAGTTCACATTACATGCTACATTCTCACTAGAGTTGCATAATACAGTTTTACTTTCATCCACGGACTGTTTTATGACATACTTGGCCAAGTGATCTGCAAACATATTCTTGGGGAAATCTTCACCAATACATTGCATGTAAGGTTTTTTATCTATTATTTTTCTTGTTAAAAAATCTGTATACTCTTCTACTGCTTTTGTTACTCTAGATGAGGTTATAGCTTCATAAGCTTCATTTACTATCATATCTACCATAGTTCCAGAGAAAGTATTAATGCCTTTCAACCCACTTGTTAATTCTGAATTATTGTTCATTCCAGATCTGTTATTTGTTTGTTTGGTACTGTTTTGGTTATGTAAGAGTGATGGAGTACTTTCAGTACTTTGACTGTGATCAGAAGTTAGATATATATTTCTGAAAGAAGAGACTTTCTCCTCTCTCTTTGTGCTTCTAAAAGATGTATGAGTGGAGTCTTTGTATGCTTTCACATCGTCATCAAAATTCGGAGCAGTGGATACTTTCACTTTATAAGCATCAGAGGAAACCTGATGTTGACAAAGAGCTCTTCCAGCTAAGGGCACAGGTATTGAACTTACAACACCAGAGGTGCAAAATAGAGCTTGCTGTACTGTGTATTCCTTCTTGGAATCTTGGATTGGCTTCAGTGTTACCCTATCATTAAAATTAGGAAAAACTGTGGAAGTCTGTGTTGATTCTAACATACTTTCTGCGCTCACATATTTAATATTGTCCATGGAAACACTAATGGCTGCTTGTGTTGTGAAGGTCACATCAACCTGAGATAGTTCAATAAAGGCCTCCTGAATGACAGATTCGGACAAATCTCTGGCATAGGATCTTACCACTTTGTCTTCATAATCAAATGATGAAGGCTGCACAGCTGTAGGTGTCGATGGATACGAAAACTGGCATACTTCCATGATTCCTTCAAACACAAGTTCTTCAGCAAGGTCTGCCGCAAACCGTGCAACAGTGTTGGTAAAAATTTGTTTCTTCACATGCCGCAGTTCTTTCAAAGCACCAGTTATAGCTTCACTCACCAAAAAGTTTGCTATCCCATTAATGGCACGCTCCTTTAGGGAGATCGCTCTACGTCTTCCAATCTCATAAAAAGCCATTTGAAAGACTGAGGAAGTCAACCTAGCAGCCAAATGACAAAGTGCATTGGTGCATGAAGAAACGCCTTTTTGCAAGTCTTTAAATGCACTGCCAAAACTTTTTTCAACTAATTCAGTTGCAAATTTTTGAATGCTATCTCTAATCATTGACTTATGTTTAGATTTTGCTTGTATATCTGGCTCCTTACTAGTTTTCATTTTAAGATCTGCAGCTTGACCTTTTTTCTCTTTCAAAGCAATCCCTTTGTGTTTCAAGTCATTTTCTGCACAGGCTTGTTCTGCTGAGGACTCAGAATGAAAAACAGAACCCAATATTTCAAATGAAACACTATCAGCATATGCTGAATAAGTATTATAAACTTCATCATGGTGATTTTGACCTGCCCCATCTCCACCAAGACTAATTCGACATAAACATTCAGAAGAACCACAGCTCCCTAGTGGACTGAAAGCTGATGATCTAATAGGGCTGAACAAGCCTCCGTTCTCTTCCCCTGATGTTTTAACTGGGCGAGGGGAATCTGGGACATCAAAGACGCTGCTATATGGTGATTCTGGTTTACGAGGTGTCGGTTTCTTTACATTGGCTGGGAGAGTGGGACGATCAAACTTGAATTTCTGAGGATTCATCGTAACGCTTGCAGAAGACAACTGTTCATGTGCAGTCCTCCTTTTCTGGGAGGGATTCCCTAGGATGGGATCCCTAATAACTTTACAAGAGTTTTCCAAGGCTTGTTCCAGCTCATCAAACTGATCAAAACTATCAAAAAATTCACTTACTTCTGAGTCTGAATCCTCTATACCATCTTTCACTACTGGAATTTTTGGCAGTTGAAGTTTAGCCTTCAAGCTTTTTTGATACCCTTCTTCATCTAAGAAGATGATGGGGCTTGGGCTGGAGCAATCTGACTCAGAGGATTCAGCTGGAGAGGATGAAAACAATGTTTTACATAAAAAATTAACACCTTGATCAGAAGGATTATATGGCTTATAGAAACTCCTTTGTATCCAAGGATCAGAAATTGAGGTTGTAACTGAATTTTTTACTGAGGACAGTTCCTTAAGTCCCAAAATATCAATCAAAGTAGAAGATCTGGCAGATGACTTTCGACATGCAGAACCCGCAAGTATCTTTGAGTCAGTAGCTTCTAAACATTGAGCAGGGATGGTCTGTGAAGCAGCATCTCGATGGTTTCGAGAAGTAAAGCTACATGCACCTGAAAAAAAAACAAAACAAAACAACAAAAAAACAAACCGAAAAAGAAAGATTCCTTCAAAACCAAGAATTTCTACAGAACTACAGAAACCCAGATTTTGACGGCAACTGCTGGGTTCGTTACTGTTGCAAAATGCTAGGTGGTCTTTTATAATTAAAGAAGTCTTTAATTTTTTTCAAATCCTATTATACTAATCTAATCACTGACAAATCCATGTATTTTTTAGTACACAAAGTAGAACAAGATTCTATTCAATCTACATTCAACATCAAGATTAGAATCTTTGGTTTATGAACTGACAAACTGTTGTGAAAAGAATAGAAAAAAAATTAAATTTTCAATTTCATAATATCCCTTTACAGAACATGATTAATATAAAAAAATTACTATTTATTTACATTTACTTTCTCATGAAATCCTGACAGCCTAAATTTAAAATTACAATTTCTGCAGTCAATAGCATGCAAGAACTTACCAGCACTTTGTATCTTTGAAGGCTCATCTTCATCTAAGTGTTCAAAAGCAGTGACAAAATCATCCTCAATTGAAGAAACTGACTGATTAGTATCATCATCTTCTCCATGGGATGTCTCTGTTTGATGTTTTTGCGATGAGTTTATTTCCACTGCATATCTTATGCCTGTGGTATACTTGCTCAGCAAGTTAAATATATAATCAGCTTTGATCCTTGGGAAAGAAGGAGACAGTCTCACCACACAAAACACTTCAGGAAGTTGATTCTTGAAAAAGAGAGAAACAAGAAAGCAAACATAACAATCTTAGAATGATGTTAACTGTCAGGAGTAGCAAGGGATCCCTTCTATGTATCTTTTATGAACAGTAACCAATTAACAAATATTTTAAAGATAAGAAAATGAATGGAACAGTTTGTGTAGTGTCATAATTAAAATCACTCATTTTCATAACTTCTGCATGGTGAATAAATCATTGCAATAAAACAAACAAAAGGTTGTGTAATACAACTCTGATAATACGTATTCAAGAAACTATTAAAGAATGCATGTTAAAAATCTGTAGAGGAAGACAGTATTTCAAAGCATCTTTATGCTGAATAGCACTTCAGTTTATAGATAATTGTTTCTTCAACATTATTTTTTATCTTGTTTACAACATAATTAAATTTAACATGCATGATCAGCCAATATGGCTTTAAGAGGTTTGCATTAACAACATTTGTAATTGAAAATAATATAATTAACAAAATAGTAATAATATTGAAATAAAAATAATGGAAAAATATATAATTAACAGCATTTATAATTGTAAATCATTTTTAGAAAGAAAAGAGCTCACTGAGTTTTAAGAACACCTGACATTCTCGTAATTTTTGGCATCTCTGTTTCAAGAAGAAAGGTCTTCAAAGGATGAAAGCTATATCTGAGCAGAGAGACAAGTTTCTTTTTTCCAAACTGACAGTGAAAAGGACTATATACAAACATAACCATGGGATCAGCACCATAATTAAATATTTGTTAAATATTTTCTGTTAATAATACAGCACTTGGAAGCACTGAGTTTGAGATTTTCTAACATTCATTTTAAAGAAACCACTGAGATGTAATAACATTAATACCACTGTGCCTAAGGTGGCCCAAGACAAGGTGTGACTAAACTCTTTATGAGGCCAGATATAATGCTTTGGTAATTAAGACATGCAAGAAGATACAAATTTTTACCTGACGTTTCAAGTCATAAGGTTTTGCCAAGGTTTTCTTTACATCTTTTAGAAATATAACCTCATTTTCTTTTAGTTTGCACAACTGGAGAGATTTCAGAACATCTGGAAGCTCTACAGAAACAGCTGCCAACTCCTGATTTAAATACATAAACACATTGAGAATATAAAGTGAAAAAAAAATAACACATAAATGATGATGGTTTTGATCTCATATCCCCCCTAAATAGTAACAGATGATCATTTTGGTAAAGCTCCTCTTGTCTTCCCTTTTTCTTGCCCTATCCCCCACTTATTCTCTCAAACTGTGGTGAAAAGCTTATGTAAACAAGCTTTAATTCAGTCCATACTCATGTCCAGCTCCACCTTCTACCAAAAGAAATTCTACTGTTTCTCACGGGCCAGAAGACGCTTAAAAGTCACAAAGGACAATCCTGTAAGCACTGAAAAGCAGTTGCACATCCTACAAGGTACACAACTACAAAGAAAACACTGAACTCGGCTAACAGTGGCTCTCAATAGATCTCTCCATGATTTTAGTCTGCTTTATTGGAATGGTGTTTTAGACACCTATTACAAAAACAGAGACAAGGCACTTCTTCAAGCATCATCTTGGATAACTTTTAGATTTACCTAACACAGAAAAGGCCTATGAAAGATTTATGATTTTTTTCTTTTTTTAGACAGTCTAAACTCTACTGATCCATATGGTACAAAGTAAGTCTCCACAAACTTATTCAGCCCAATTTTCTCTAAATTTCACCTAACTATAGACAATGAATGGTTCTTACCTGTACTTGAAAGAATGCCTAGTACTATTATCATTTGGTTAATTAGCAACACTGATACAACTTTAAAAATGAATGGATTCAGAGCTTCTGCTTTCCATTTTTAAACATAAGCAAACTATTACAGCAATCTCTATCTACTAAGATCTCGACAAAGGAGAAGTGTGGAATTGCACTGTAAATGGATATGTTATGGGTTTTACTTCTGTATATTGCACAGAAACATTAAACCCTTAACATCTTAAAATGGCACAACACACTTCCACTAGTTTGCCATGCTTCCCCTTTTAAATTAGTATTTCCTCATCTAACTCTACAGAATAATATCTTAAGGCATAACCATAATACTGACTCCTGGTCCTCCATCAGCAATTCACAGCTAGCAGTCAATCCAGTAAAGTTTTAGCCTTGCAGATGACAATTGTACCATATTAATAAGTACAACTCTACCAAGAAGGTAGAAGGCAAAATACTAATACACACAAGTTTTTAACAAAAAAAAAAAACAAAACCACCAAACAAAACCCCTACAATTAACCAAGTCCCTCCCCTCTCCAAATACCCCACACACAAATAAAATCCCCTCCTCCTAATTTAAGTAAGTTGTTCCAGACCATTCTAATACAAAGACTGACCCAAGCAATATTTTAAATATATATATGTGCTGGGTTTGTGTGAGTGGCAGGGTTTTTGGTAGCCATGGAAGGGGCTATAAGCAGCGGCCTCTGTGAGCAGCTTCTTGAAGCTCCCCTGGTTCCAAGTTAGCAACAGTGGCTCCAACTCTTTGGTAACATATTTAAGGAGAGCCTGGGAGGAGGATTTGAAGTTGTGAGGAGGGGCTGTTGGGAGGACACCTATGCAAACACTAAGGTCAGTGGAAGAAAGGAGGAGGGAGGGGGTGGGAAAGGTGCAGCAGAGCAGAGACTCCCCTGCAGCCCCTGGTGCGAGGGCAGGCTGTGCCCTGCAGCACATGGAGGTCCACAGTGGAGCAGATGCCCACCTGCAGCCTGTGGAGGACCCTACGACAAAGCAGGTAGACGCACCCAAAGAAATCCATAACTCTGAGGGAAGCCCACACTGTTGTAGTTTGGTGCTGGGAGGACTGCAACATGCAGGAGTGACCCGCAGTGGAACAGTTCGTGAAGAGCTGCAGCCCATAGGAAGAAAGGACTCATGCTTGTGGAGCATGAAAGGACCAAGCTTGTGGAGAACTGTGTTCCATGAGAGGGACTCCAATGTTGGAGGAGGGGAAGAGTGTAAGGTGTTCTTCCCCTGAGGTGGAAGAAGTGGTAGGACTGATGGCAACCCCCACCTCCTGCCCTCCTGTGCCACTTGGAGGGGAGGAGGTAGAGAAATCAGAAGCAAAGCTGAGCCCCAGAAGAAGGGAGGGGTGAAGGCAAGGTGTTTTTAAGATGTGGTTATCCTTTTCACTGTCCTACTCTGTCTGTTCGGTGGTGGTGTTGTTAGCGTTTGAATTAAATTGATGATCTTTTTCTTCCCCTTAGAAGTCTATCTTTTGCTCATGACCATAATGCATGAGTCATCCCTCACTGTCCTTATCTTAACTCTGGAGCCTTTTGTGGTATTTTTCTCATTCCCATTTCTGAGGGAGAGGGAGTAAGGGAGGAGCTGTGTGGTGTTCAGTTGCCCTCTGGGCTCAAACCACACCAATATAAAACACTAATGATCATATTAAAATAATTATTTTCAACATTTCAGTGATATTTAAAACTTGTGGTTTTAAATGCTCAAGATACATATATTTAGTTTCCTGAACACCAAAAATCCTCCACCTAAAAAAACTAGGCACTATTTAGAAGAAATCATCAGTGCTGAAGAACATTATTTTCCAATATAGATAGACATATACTGTACCTGCAAATGAGCAGTACCCATCTCTTCAGCAAAACCTATAAATGTAATCTGTAAAATAAATACGTGAACATATTGAAGTACAAAAATATTTTTTTCATTTTCTGCAGATATTTAAGAGTTAAAAATTCAGCAGGCTTTACCATAAAGCTTCATTCTACCACCATGAAAACCATACCTTAGGGTAGCACAGCTTGCTCAGACAGTTGCACATAGTCTTACATAAAGAATAGTAATGCTAGACTACTCGATGTGTGAAAGGTCAGATCTGACTAAAGAGCATATACAACATTTAAAACCCACTACAAAGAAATTTTTCTAGTGGCCTACCAGCGGGTATACACTGAGCAACACACAGAAGCCTCACTCTATCTGTTAAAATAAACATGACTTTGCAAAGATCAGTGCTCATCTGTCCTTGCTTCAGGCTAGACACATACAAAACAGTTCCAGTCCAAAATCTGATCAAGCTAACATACTGTGATACAAAGGATATACTAAAGAGAGCATAATGCCAACACATTATACAGTTTACCATGTTAATTGATTAGCCAAAGGCCAAAACACAAGAGGTTACTTAAGCCAGATATTTGTACGCAATATCTGAGTAGACAAACCCCTAAAGTAAAGGAATTAAAATAGTCAATCTCAAAAAAAATAAAAGGTCTTGTCAGGCTCAGGAGCCTGGACTATGTCAGAAACATCAGCTTTACCTCAGGTTTTTGTGCCTGTGGACAGGTGAGTTATTTGTCATATACTGTCCCTCTCTTCTGTCTACAGGTATCTTGTGTCATTCAACACAAACAGACCAACGAGTCATATAATCATGAGAGAATCATAGAATGGTTTGGGTTGGAAGGGACCTTGAAGACCATCTAGTTCCAACCTGCCTTCCGTGGGCAGGGACACCTTCCACTAGAGCAGGGTGCTCAAAGCCCCATTCAACCTGACATTGAACACTTCCAAGGAGGGGGCAGCCACAACCTCTCTGGTTAATCTGTTCCAGTGCCTCATCACTCTCACCATGAAGAATTTTCTCCCTATATCTAATCTAAATCTACCCTCCTTCAGTTTAAAAACCATTACTCCTTGTCCTATCACACATGTCCTTGTAATAAGTCCCTCTCCAGCTTTCTTGTAGGCAGATAAGTACTGGAAGGTCTCCCCAGAGCATTCTCTTGTCTAGGCTGAACAAACCCAAGACTCTCAGGCTGCCCTCACATAACCCCAAGTCCCTCCAGCACCCTCATCATCTTCGTGGCCCTCCTCTGGACCCACATGAGCACATCCATGTCCTTCTTAAATTGAGGACTCCATAGCTGAATACAGAACTCCAGGTAGGGTCTTACAAGAGCACAGAACAGCAGGAAAAATCACCTCCCCCTCAACCTGCTAGACTTGCTTGATGCAGCCTAGGATACAGCTGGCTTTCTGGGCTGTGAGCACAAATTGCTGGATTATGGTTTTCCATCCACTACTATGCCCAAGTCCTTCTCCTCAGGGCTGCTCTCAATCCACTCATCGCCCAGCCTGTGTTTGTGCTTGGGATTGTCCTGACCCATGTGCAGGACCTTGCACTTGGCCTTGCTGAACTTCAAGAGTTTTGCACAGTCCCACCTCTCAATCCTGTCAAGTTCCCTCTGGATGGCACATCCCTCCAGTGTGTCAACTGCACCACACAGCTTGGTGTCATCGACAAACTTGCTGAGGGTGCACTCCATTCCACTGTCCATGTCACCAACAAACGTGTTAAACAGCACAGACAAGGATGTAATGTGGGAGAGTGTCAAATGCTTTGCACGAGATAAGGCAGTTTTTCTTCCCTTATCCACCAACACTGTAGCCCCATCATAAAAGGCCACCAAATTTGTCAGGCACAATTTGCCCTTAGTGAAGCCATGTTGACTGTCACCAATCACCTCATTAACTTCTCTGTACCCTACAACAGTTTCCAGGAGGATCTGCTCCATGATCTTGTCAGACACAGAGGTGAGACTGACTGCCCTGTAGTTCCCTGGGTCTTCCTTTTTTCCCTTTTTAAAAATGGGGGTTATGCTTCCCTTTTTACAATTAGCAGGAACTTCATCAGACTGCCACAACTTCTCTAAGATGGATAGTGGTTTAGCCACTTCATCCACCAGTTCCCTCAAGACCCAAGGATGCATCTCATCAGGTCACATGGACCTGTGCACCTTCAGGTTCCTTAGATGGACCTGAACTTGAACGTCTCCTACGGTGGGCTGTTCTTCATTCCCCTAGTCCCTGCCTTTGTATTCTGTGTTGTGGGTGATGATGGCTGGAGCACCTGCCAGTGAAAACTGAGGCAAAAAACGTATTGAGTACCTCAGCCTTCTCCATATCCTGTGTAACCATCTCTCTTTTTCTTCTGGAAATGCCCACATTCTCCCTAGTCTTCCTTTTATCACCAATGTACTATAGAAGCTTTTCTTGTTGCCCTTGATGTCCCTGGCCAGATTTAACTCTATCAGGTCTTTAGATTTCCTAACCTGGTCCTTGGCTGCTTGGACAGTTTCTCTGTATTCCTCCCAGGCTATCTGTTCTTGCTTCTACCCTCTGTAGGCTTCCTTTCTGTGCCTGAGTTTGTCCAGGCACTTCTTGTTCATCCATGCAGGCTTCATGGCATTTTTCACTGCCTTCCTCTTTGTTGGGATGCATCGCTCCTCAGCTTGGAAGAGATGATCCTTGAATATTAACCAGCTTTCTTGGGCCTCTCTTCCCTCCAGGACTTTATCCCATGTTACTCTGCCAAGCAGATCCCTGAAGAGGCCAAAGTCTGCTCTCCTGAAGCCCAGCGTAGTGAGCTTGCTGTGTGCCCTCCTTGCTGCCCTAAGGGTATTAAACTCCAACATTTCCTGGGCACTGCAGCCAAGGCTGCCCTTGAGCCTCACATTCCCCACCAGCCCCTCCTCGTGGTTGAGAACAAGGTCCAGCCCAGCACCTCTCCTTGTTGGCTCCTCTATCACTTGGAGAAGGAAGTTATCATCCACGCATTTCAGGAACCTCCTGGATTGCTTATGCCCTGCTGTGTTGTCCCTCCAACAGATATCGGGGTGGCTGAAATCACCCGTGAGAGAAGAGAGTCAGTATTTTGTCTTACCTTCATTCCTCAGTGTCAGATCATGATCTATTTTACATCTGCTACTCAAACTTTGTTTGAAAAATCAGATTTCAACAGTTCTCATTTACTATTTCCCTAAGGACAAATCAATAGGATATCTGCATGCTCAAAAAAAAAATCCCAAATCAAAAAGGGTTGTAGAATAATGAATTTTGCTTCCATTTTGTACAGAATAAAGCATAAACATTAAATATTTCCACTGATGTTTGGACTTAAGTTTGATATGGCTTGGATTCACTTATTTCAGAGCACTATGCAATAGATTGAATTTTATGTATTCAAGCCACAGCTCATACTAAATTTGTAGCAGCTATTCCCTGTTACTCCAAGGTAGTCATTTGGTTCTCAAGTTTAAAAACAGCAAAGAACAGTGCTATGTTTATAATCATTTATTATTAACTAGTTCATGTACCTCCTTGTGCATACACAGAATCTCTGGAAGGGACAGAGCTAGAAAAAAAATGGCTGAAGAACAATTCTGTTTCAAACTGTATTTCAGTTTTGAATATGTTCTTTCAATGTGTGACCAAAAAAAACACCCCAAACTTTCTTTTAAACTGAAACCATATTAAAATATGAAAAATTCTGACTTGTTTACTTTAGGAGGTCTCATGCTGGGAAGATATTGTGCCCCTAGAAAGTAACTTCTTGTTTACATCCACTTATCCTTATTTCAGTTATGACAACATCATAAATGAAAGAATGGTTCATAGTAGCATTCCAAATAGCTCCAGACAAATTACAGGTCTCCAACACCATATTCACTGTGTTAACTATAAAACAATCTCGTTTGAGCAATGTGCCCTTCAACTGATACATCCTTCCTTCAGCTCTTGCATCTTTTATCTTCACAGTATCTGCAAGACACCTTTCAACTTCTACACTTTTTTTATCTGTACAGTACCTACAATATGAACTGAATTCCTCCACAGAAGAGGCAAAATAGAAAACAATTTAAAGGACTTAGGAAAAAAAAAAAGTCCTCTGAAGAACATTTTGGAAGGCTTTCAGGTTTTTTCTCTTGGGGCTTTTTCGGTAGTTTGTTTTGCGGGTTTTTTTATGGGTGTTTGCTCTTCTGTCTTCTTACATGCCCTTTCCTCTTCCTCAAGTTAATGATTCCAACTCTTTCCTTCTCCCACGAGATAACTCATTGCACAAATATAGGGCAGAATGTTTCACACAAATGAAGGCAAACCAGTTCATATGTACACTGACAGGCCAGCAGGCTGCTGTCATAGAGACTATATCACAGCTGCCTATTTTTGCCTCAACAACACTACTAATTCAGATTTATCACGTCCAACCTCCAGTTTTCGCAGAAGAATAATCACCTTTTAATACTTTGAACATGTCTAAAGTTAGTACATCAGTTCAAAAGTCGTTGGGGAGTAGACCAACAATTGGTAACACAAGTCTTTTCTTTAACCTAAAAATAGTGTACGAGACACTGCATTTGAAGGTTATTGTAACCCATGGGTACAGAGGAAATTAATTAAAATTGTACAGGAAAACAGTAATTCTGTTTTTCCTAAGTCTGAGTAATTATCTTTGCAGTCCTAATAGCGTTCTTTTAATGTTATTCTGCATATAGGTGTCTTTTCCTATATTTTCATTAAAAAAAACCCAAAACTGTTCTGTGGCAGGATATTGACCCTCTTACATTTCAACCAGAGGGCTCTTAATTGCTTGAGCTAATAAGGTAACTAAATATAATCAGCTATCTTGCTCCACAAGGACCATCATTACAGGCATTTAAAACACGTTGCCAGCTATTTGCTACAAGAAAAAAAAAAAAGGGGGGAGGGGAGGGGGTGCTGACAATGTCTGAGGGGTTTTGTATATTCTAGAGCATGGTCTGACTGAACAGACAGAAACAAGGTTCTGCCCCACTCCTCCACTACTTAGCTCTTCTTCCTCACCTCTAATTTTATACAAGCAATCCTAACTCATCTCTCCTGGTCACACAATCTGCCTCTTCCCTTTCTGCTGCTACTATTTATCCAGTTATCAGTCTTCCCTAACCACCTCCTGAGTCTTTTTTGCTACATTTCTCCCTATCTCAGCTACTCCATCTGGCTAGTTCACATCATCCTCTCTTTCTCTAAGCTCCTTGTCAGGCCTGTCAACTACTTCTTAGTAGTCTTCTAAAACACTTAATACAAGATACGTGGTACACACTGCTTCTTACTTTTTTTTTCCCCTCTGGAGAAGCTGCCATCTTGTAACTCAAAGAGCTCTAGTTATTCTTCCTCAAAGCTTGAGATTTACCTAGACAGTCCTGTATTCTGTCCAGGTCTACTTCTCTCATCCAGCTTCTGGCACATCTCTATTAATGTAAAAGAAGTCTAGGTCTGCAATGCTGAAACTTCAGTTTTTAGTACTGAGCACAGGGCAAACAAGAGAAATCACTGTAACTTTCATCTTCAGACTTGGATCAAAACGTTCTGCTACTTTCTTAGGATACCATCCATACAACCTGGATCACAGGAGTGCTCACAAATGCAGTACACCCAGTATAATTCTTACAAAATCATTTAACTACACATTTTGGGTTTTTAGTTTCACAAAACCTATAAAGCAGAGAAATGCCATCTTGAAATGTCACTGCTCTTCTCAAGACTACAGTGACTTAATTAAAGAAAGACAGCGACAGCAGAAAGTACAGATTTTATGGCCAGTAACTTGCAATATTGTTCACATTAACTACCCCGCAACTTTCCATGCTGCTTCAAGCTAAATCATTTTCTATCATAGCCACATTTATATATAAATTATCAAGTTATGCCAAACCTCAATAAAATTATCTTGTTCTTCCCGATTTAGACATTCCTCTGCTGATACATTGCATAGTTTTTTTCTGCTGTGTAGCAGTGACTTCATAGAGTGCAGTACACCTTCACCAAAACTCTGAAAAACAATGAAAAAAGAAATACATTTCCAGGTTTGGATACAGGGTCCATCCATCTATCCCCTGCCCCCATAGTTTTCCCTACTTCAAGTACTATTTCAAATTAGTTTGTATATAGATCACCAGACTTTAAGTTTAAATTTACTTCATGACATGGAAACAGCTAAGTTGTTTTCTTCAAGCAATATTTTTATTCCAAAAGAAGTTGACCATTCTACATTAAAAAAAAAAAAAAAAAAAAAAAAAAAAAAAAGTGAGAACATGCAGACTTGGAAAAAAGAAATAAATGAATCCAAGACAAAATCCAAAACCCATGTAATTCCTTGCATCAAAGTCTGTATATGGAACTTTTCCATCGGCTTTTCCTTAAAAGGACAAAAGCAAATTTAGTCAAGAAAAGTAATGGAGGTGGCTTCAAAAGTCAGAGAGGAAGAAAACAAATAAAGAAACAAAACAAACAAGATAATCCACACATATTCTCCTTTCCCATTCCTTGAAGAATGTGAAATAACTGTAACTTAATCCCATGTAAATACTTCTTGTAACATTTCTTATATTTATGCTTATGGTGACATGCAGTCACCCACAGATGGCTAAAAAAGGATTAAGAATCTAAGACTTCCTCCCAGTGTAAGGAAGACCAGCAGAACAAAAGAATTATCATCACTGGTATCTGAAGGCAAATAAGACAGAACAACAACAAAAGCTGGTTCACTCAGCTTGTAAAAATACAAGACCCTCTCATTTGTTTTAGGAAGTTAGCAACTTTTAAAAAAAAAAAAAAATTGTCATCTTCTCTATCAAGTAGGTTAAAAAGAAAAATAAGATCATTACATAGTTATAAATTGTTAATCCGTTTATTTCTTCTTCTCTACACAACTACCCTGTTAAAAACAAAGTGAAAATTCAGTGTGCCCAATTTATGATGAGTTATTTCAAATTTGCATAGCTTCTTAAACAATAGTCTAAGTGCTAGATGGCCAAATGTAGTCAGAGAATGTTTTGCATTTCTGATACTCCCACAGCAAAAACCAATCCCTTTAAGGTAAAAAGCGATCTTGCATATTACCGTTAAACCTCAAGATTTCCTCCTCCTCCTTCCCCC